CAGCAAGGAAGCTCTGACTGAAGAAGACTTAAATTCACAATCTTTCTCAGCTGTCTTTGTGCTATATGAAAGGTTGAAGTAATTATGAGAAAGTTCAGAGAAACTCAGCAAAGACTGTCAGCATTTTAGCACATCATACCTTATTAATTTGGAACGGCCTCTCTCTGGTACTCTGTTTGTTGAACTGCTCTTCCCAATTGCCTTTGAAATAGATGGCATTCACCAACACAAGCCTGGTCAGGGAATTCAGAATTCCCTCTGCCAACAGGTTCTGAATTTTACCTTTATGATTCAAACAAAAATCCCACATTATTTTATAGGTTGACATGGATCTAATTATTACCCAAGATAATACCTACTCTGCAATTAATAAACAATAGAGAAGAGAATTATGTACCAGACACACAGCAATTGCTTGTCATCTGAGTTGTTTGAATTCACAATCCTACATCCTGAACTAGTTGTTTTTCCAAACAATGGACAATGGTTAATTCCCATTAAACAGAACTGGGCACTTGGAAAAGCACTCACCTTCAGTCCTTTTCTCTACCCAGCCATTGATTTGTTTCCTGGCATCCTCCCAAGCATGTAGGAAGTCCATCTGTTCCAGGCCAGCATGGTAGGATTTCTGACTGGACTCTGTAAATGACTAACAGGCACATTCACAACAGATTTGCAGCAAGAGATTTACTCTCATTCAGACACAGGTGATCCTTACATTCTCCAAGGATATATGCCAGCTTTCCTTCCCCATCTTCATATAGAGCCATTAACATTCTTTCTGCCAAGTTCCCACTAGGACTTATAGCACTTCATTGAACTAGTAATCAATATTAGTAATATGGATTATGCACTGTAGTACAAACTTCCACACTTCTTTGACAAAAATGAGGGGTGTTTTTTCCTTGTATTTATTTTGCGCTTCTGGGACCTGACATATGATTTTATAAGCTTCTTTGTAAGACCTTTGCTAAGAGATGCATCAACCATTTGTCCCATAGCCAAACAGATTAATGGATCACAGAACCCTCAAGAGTAGAGACTGATGGATTTTACCCTGCTTAGCATCACTTCTCCACTCAGAACACAAATTATTTAAAAGGAGATTCTCCATCAAGTTCAGACACCAGGCTCAGGCAGAATCTACTGCACTCCTGGCTCTCAGCACAGAAACATGGGAAAGCAAACCCCAAAGCCTGCCTTTACTGCCAGAGGAAAGAGGTAGCAAATCCATTATCCTAACAATCATAACAAACTTAATGACTACTTACAGGAAGAAACTCAAAGGTCTTTTCTCCATAGAGCCGGTTTGCAGTTCTCAGGATGTATTTGGTGTTTGGATCATTGATTTCAGAGAGAAGGGATTGATACCCATTGTGGGCATCCTGGGCGTTCTTCAGAGAAAGCACCTGCACACAGACAACATCCACAGCAGTCTCCTTACCTTCTCTAAACACACTTGCTACAGCATGACTGGTTTTATATTAAAATTACATTTAAGTCAAATATTGTGATTGGAAGCCAAAAGAGATCAAATTTATTTGAACACCAGTTGTTTTTTGTTTTTACACTTCCCAGCACAAACTGGGCAGCAAAGGTTGGAAAATTATCAGCTCACTGGAGACTGATTTGGTGCCACAGGCACCTGAGATCCCATACTACACACTTGAATTATTTTACTGGTTTAGAGTCTGCTTCTAAATTTCAGTCCCACCCATATACGGTGTGACATCTTTTGAGATGGTCAGGCACAACAGGATTTTTGTCAAGACTTCCTCAAATAAGTTTCCCTTGACTTCACACAGAAAAAAAAATTCCCTTTATTAGACCACCAGAGTCAGAGTTCAGAACAGCAGCATTACCAACTCTTACCTTCTGTAAGTCTACAGACCCTCAGTGATAGCTGCAGCTTGCTTCTGCGTGTGCACGCTGGGTATTAAACCTGCCAGCCAGGCTGGGAGAAGCCAGCAGAAGGACTTGGCCTGAAAATAAGACAATGAGCAAGAATTTCATTGTCACTGAAACATTCCCTTACCAAAAAATAAAAAAAACCCCACCACAATCAGACCGAAAAGAACCAGAATAAGAATCCCAAACAAACTAAAAACCTCCACCACACCAAGCAAGTATAAGGCACATTATAATACGATGATATTTCTTCCCCGCATTTCCAACTTTACTTATCACTCCACGTTAAT